TGGATTCGAATCCGCCACTTTAGGTGTATGTGGCTGGTGCCAAGCCAGGTTAGCAAACTTAATTCCACCTATAATCTTAATTTATCCTTGCTGTATAACATAACATAGTAATATGTTCTGGGGATTTTTATGTGAACATCTATGAGGAACATTTATTCTGCCTATAAGACTAAAATTGAAGCTAATATCACCATCAAAACTAAACTCCTAGAGGAAACTAGAATGAATGTAATTTTATAAAAAAATAATTACTATTGAAATTTATTGATAAAAATATGTTAGGTAAATTTTAAAAAGTTTTACATTATAACACAAAAATGTTGGTTGCTTTGTAAAAAGATTAATAGACTGAGGCTTTTTAGGAAAGTCTCCTGTGAGACCTTATTTCTACCCCAAATCTTAAAATAGTAATTGAAAGTTATTTTCTTGGTTGGTAATTTAATTGTAGGTAATGATCCAATAATTGTATACAGGTTAGAATTATAATATTTCATTCTGGGGGGTTTTCTCCCATGTATTTGCATTAATTTTTATAAACATTTATTTTCATAGACACAATCTTAATTTTTTTTAGATTAGTTGTCAGCTGGGAATTTACAAGAAATAACAGAATCTTAGGGCCAATCCCTCTGCATCAGAAGCTGAATTTTTACAAGATTCTGAGATAATTTGTCAGTAAAGTCTGAGAAGCATTGCTATAGCAGAGTTTTCTATTTAAGATAAACATTTATATTAGCTGTCAATATGGTTCTCTGTTCATTTAAGTGTTTGAAAGGCCTTCATTAATATTTCAGTGCATGAAATTAACAGCTTTTATAATTACAGTTTTATTTACACAATGATAAATAAACATTCATACTTCAAATAATTGATAGAATTTTAAACTATAAAGACAGAATAAGTCTTACACTGAGTTACATCTAGAATTTATCTATATTTGAAAGTGACTATTCAGATTTAACCATAGGCTGAAAGATGTGCCTTGCTTTATTATTGAGCAAGGTATGCTGATTGAATTTGAAGGTATGCTGAAGCATTTCATAATGGTTGATGATACAATAATTTAGCAATTGGAATTACCCTGAGCCAGGCATTTGGTGGCTCTGCCTTGCAGAGGCCAAGGATAAAGCTGAAGCCAGGGAGTAGATTTTGACCAAATCTGAGTTGTGCGTGCCTGCCTGTGTGTGGGTGTTAGTAGACTGTATTGCCTTTTAACACTGACTTGGAAAGAAAACAAGTTAAGATAAACAATAACAGAAGACTAAACCTAACACCAGGTACTGTTCGGTTGCTTAGTTTAAAACACTTCAAATTCAGTGGGAAACTCTAGTTATCTTTAGGAATTTGAGGACTGTCCAAAAAAAGAGGAATGAGGAATGTACAATGAGGGCCTGAAGGATAAGGCAGATGTGTGGAAAGAAGTTAGAGGGGAAAGATTTTACGCTGAAGAAGTCACTTTCAAGCATCCAAAAGATCTATCCAAGGATAAAATGGGCAGCTCTGGGCACTACTGTGCATTTGGCAGAATGTCCATTTGAAATGGGTACTGATGAGGGGATCACATGTCACTTGGATAATCAATAATAATAGCTAGCTAGCATTATTGAGCACTTCCTAAAAGTTCACACCCTACAGGGTGATGCAACTCAGAACTTTAGCTCATTTGCTCCCAACAGTTTCTTGAGGTAGATGCTACTCTTTTCTCCATTTTAAACAATGTTTTGGAAAAGTTAAAGGACTTCATTTGAGCAATCAAATATAGACCTTGAATCCCATTCCCTCATATTACAGAGCTGTAAGACATCTCTAGCAAGACAGCGTAAGTTCAAGTCCTCTTCTTCCCCTCAACCAGAACAAGGTTTCTGCTAAATAGTATTAAGAGGAATAAGATTACATTGACTTTTAAAAATAATACTTTACATCTTGCCTCTTCCAAGTCATCTAATGTTTCTCAGTCAACTCTTACATGTGTATGACAATTTACAGAGACAGTAGAGCAGAACAAGGAGAAAGGGGGCACTACTTATTGAATAATTTCATATTTATTGACAAGATCAAAGAAGGCAGTAAAGCAACTCAGGAGCACATAGTTCAGAAGGATTTTAAGCAATGTTTGTTGAATGAATGTACAAATCAATGCACTTTCCATTCTTATTAACATATCACGTCTCAGAGATTTGAAGCTAAGAAAAAACTCCATTTGACTCATTCTTTTTAGCCCATATTTCTGAAATTTATACCCGAGTAAAGTGAGTAATGGAAGTGGTGTGAGGTTTTGCAATCAATTTGAAATGGAATTAGCCAGCAGTTCCGATCAGCTCTGAAGTGGTCCACCTGTTATTTTAAATTATAATCTCTGTAATACTTTCTACAAAGAATACATCATCTTCTAAGTCTGGTAAATGCATTCATACGTACACATTTTTTCCATACACAGAGAAAAATAATTTCCAGCCTATAAATTACTTTTACAGGTAGTGTATGCATTTTGCTAAATTATCACAATACAATGAAAATCCTTATTGGTTTCCTTCAGCTACAATGGAATAATTTTATGTATAAAAAGATATATTTGTTTTCTACAGATGTAATTATTAAAACAAAAAAATACTAATATTGAAAGATCCGGTGCATTTAAAAATGTGTAAGAGCTTCTGCCACTCATAGAGGACATGAACAGTTGTTGAAGCAAGTTACAAATTGATCCCAGAAATTTCTTATGTTCCTGGCCCCTGGCCGCTGTAATTAGGTCTTCTGTCTCCCACGATTCCTGTTTTTGTTCACCTGATCCTGTTTCTTGTCTGTTCTTCCCCAGTTTGATTCCCTCTTTCCTTCCTTCACTTTTTTTTTTAATTATTCCCTTTAGAATCTGTAATAGTAATTAATAGGTTTTGATATTTAGTATTCTATCTTCCTTTAGATGATGATGACAGCTCTGTTTTGCTTTTTGGGAGGCTCCTTTCCCCCATTTGAAGTGGTATTTTCTCACCTATCCCAAGGGAAGTCTCATGAAGCTCATTCAGACTGGGTCAGACATGGAAGTTTCCTAGCCATACTTACTGGTTTAAGAAGGACCAATCATCGCCATGACCTGAAGGGAAGCTAGAACTTTCTTCTGGTTCTCAGTCTGAGAGTTTTATTTATTTATTTATTTTTTTGAGACGGAGCCTCAAGCTATCCCCCTGGGTAGAGTGCCATGGCATCATGCTCACAGCAACCTCCAACTCCTGGGCTCAAGTGAGTCTCCTGCCTCAGCCTCCCAAGTAGCTGGGACTACAGGCGCCCGGTCATTTTTTGGTTGCAGCCATCATTGTTGTTTGGTGGGCCCAGGCTGGGGATTCGAACCCGCCACCTTAGGTGTATGTGGCTGGCACCTTAGCTGCTTGAGCCACAGGCGCCGAGCCAGTCTGGGAGTTTTGGACAACCCAGTGGTCCTGATAGATAAGGCAAGGTGGCAGACATACAGAGAGATCTGTTAAGTACAAGGTTAACCTTTGGGCAACATTCATTTTGTACCAGGCACTTTGGTAAGCACTATATGCATGTAAATTCATGGATTTGTTGTGAACAACAAAAGTATTTATTCTCTTTTTACAGGTGAAGAAACTGAGGGACATAGTTTTTATGTGGTGCCAAAAGACATACAGTTACAGGAGGCATAACTGGGGTTTGAACCTGGGAAGCATGGCTCCAGGAGGCGTCCTGTGTTCACCACGATCTTCTTTTGCCTCTCTGACTGCCATCACTTGAGTCTGAAGTCTCTTCTATGCTGTGATTTTCATTTCATATGGCTCCAAAACTCCACTCAGACACTTTCACTTGGGTTTGCCAACACTGCTAAAGACCAGATCAGCTGGGCATTGTGGCTCCCACCTGTACTCCTAGCACTCTGGGAGGCTGAGGCACTCTGGGATTGCTTGAGCTCAGGAGTTCAAGACCAGCCTAAGTGAGAGCAAGACCCCATCAGTGGTTAGCAGTGCTATCCCTCCAAAAATTAGGCTTTGCAAATCAGATGTGAAATGCTAAATTTGGCAGTTAAACATGAGCAGGGCAGGAGGCAGATACTGCTAAGCTGTTTTGACAGTTTTGGACTGGCTTCCATCAGAAGGGCCTGAGTTGTCCCACTAAGTATCATGCCGAGTTAACATGGGAATGCAGCTGATCAAGATTTTACAAGTGAATTCCCTTGTGATGGGATTCTCTTGTCCCTTTGGGACCAATTAATGTCCCAAAGACTTTCTAATGTGGACAGACAGATGTGGTCATATGTCATATACTATTCCTTTTGTATTCCTTTGCTCCCCCTTTTTTCTGATACCCTTTCTGAACCTGAAGAATGGCTCATTTAAACAAATAGAATGGGGGAGATGTGGGAGGCAGGCATGTGAACTACTCACAGACCTTCCAACTCAGGGTAAAGTGTCTAGTCAAGGGAATGTCTACGCGACTGTCCCTGCATGGAGAGTCAGCAATACAGATGGGCTGAGTTAGGAAAGTTAAGATAGCTGGAAGGGATAATACTTGTTTCCCCTCCCCTTTCTCTTCTCCCTGTATACATTATCTGGCTGCTTCCATTGTTCCATTACCTACGTTCCTGTTTACTCTTTACCCCGCCTTCCTGGGGGCTGTAATCAACCCTCTCTCATTTTTAACCTTAACTGAAAGCTATTGCTGTGCATTCTTTAACATATACTCTGTCATGGTATCCAATAAAAAGACTCCTGAGAAACAGGACTGGTTGACGCATCATTTTCAGGCTGCTGCTTGGCACATGAAATAACGTATGCCCTTCTAAGCTTCCAGGATGTATGCGCTAAGATTGGTGTAAAGTCTTACGATTTCTCCAGCACTGTCTCCCTTGCTGACCACTGTCTCAGGTGGGGGTCTACAAGATTCCCACCCCCATCTCTACTGAAAATAGAAAAGAAAAAAATTAGCCAGGCAAGGTGATGCATGCCTGTAGTCCCAGCTACTCAGGAGGCTGAAGCCAGAGGATCACTTGAGCCCAGGAGTTTGAGGTTGCTGTGAGCTATGATGCCACGGCATTCTAGCCTAGGGTAACAGAGTGAGACTCATTCCTCAAAAAAAAAAAAACCTCACATGTTTCTCTCTATATATTTACTGGCATCAGAAACATTCCATTAAATATTTTCCATTAAATATGAAGTCATATTTCCAGCATAAAGCTGTTTTCATGCACTCTAATTTACACGACATTGCTCTACTCCACTGTTACCAAATGTACGCCAAGATCAGTTATGCAACGTTCTTCTCAACAATGTTGAGTTCTTTATTTCTAGGTTTATGTGTCATCTTTTCCCCAAATAAAATAAATGTCCTTAAAGTAAGAGTCAAGACCATACATTATCGTATTCTGATTCCTCAGGGGACACACTACAAAAATGGTACTTTATAAATATTTATTAGGTGTCAGATTATCAGAACTAGTTATGGTATGTAGGAAGAATTTTATGTGTGGTTTAAGTGTTATATACTGAGAGAGATCTGCTTTGCTTGGGTGAAAGGTAGAAAAAGGTAATTTAAAATGAAGTATTTTGAAAGAAACTAGCCTAGATTTTATTTTGCTTTTGTGTTACATACATTTCACGATCTCATAATATTGCTTATCACTGCAGAGTTGTGCAGTTCTAACATCCTCAAATAATAATAAAACTCTTCCCCTAGGAGACAGTGCCTCATGGTTATGGTGTTATAAGAGTTCTTCATATTTAGAAACCTTATTAGAATTTACTTTGTGTAGAATATGTGTGGTTTTATTCGAGTCTCACAATGACCTGGTGAGGTCAGTACTATTATAATACTTTTGCTATGTAATTAAGGAAAATTAGAGTTGAGAATAGATGACTGCTAGTGAGTAGATATCCAATGCTATGAAGCAAACCTTTGATACTAGAGCACAATCCACTCTTCTATTTTATTATTTTATGACCAAGACAGTATCTACAACTTGGCAGGTGCTCAGTAAACATGCATTTGTTTATCTTTCTTAATTATCAAAATTATATTCAGTATGTCACATTGAATACTACAAGACATAATGAGGTACTATAAAAAATAGACCAGGGAGTCCCCAAGGACTCCATGGTCACCAAGGAGTTCACCATGCAGTTTGTACAGAAATGCCCCATTGCTAATACATGTGATCTTTTCACTCACCAGAGTTGATCTAGATCTGAGTATATACCACACAAGGATAATGAACAGAAACACATCTCACAGTATGCAAACTGATTTAAAAAGTAACAGCCTAAACTTAGAATTTGCTCTTTGATTCCCTGCTGGCTAATTTTGATTCTGGAGCATGACAAAGAGGATGGCTTGTTACCATT